TGGGTTGAGGGAGGGAGTGAACGCCTAAGGGGTCTAATAATGTTTAAGCGTGTAATAGTAATAATATTGCCATTATTAAGGCTGTGCGTGGTACCGATACCTTTTTGGGCATAATGTTTTTCAGAGCTTTTTTATTACAAACTTTGTGGCGAGTATCACTCCCTCCCCCACCCCTCTTTTTTTAACACTTTGTGACGAGGCCCATCATTGCTTCTTTTAGAAAAAAAGTCTTAATAACAATGATTTGCCGAAAGACAAATATCAATACCATAACTTACATAATATGAAATGTTTAAATACAGACTTGAAAATTTGAACTTCTATATATGGTTAAGATAGACCTCTGCTAAGTCCCTTTACATGTTTTATAGTGGGCGAGTTAGGGCGTTCAGCTTCATCTCTTATCATCTTCTCTGGATATAGATAATTGACGAAAGGAGGGGGGGGGGGTGTCAAGAGATCTAAGCCCCAATGTTTGGTGCCCATGATCTCAAGTAGTATCATGCACCATGACTAACACACAAGACTAATGCGACAGTACCTTTCTTTGGTGTTGATGAATTATCGCAAAGTAAACCGTAACCGAATACATTCGTAAACATGTTGTACACAGTAGTACTGACAGGCATACCTACAGACAGGGGCTTTTTTAAAATACGTATCAATGTCGCCTATAAATGCCACTGTTAGTGCGATGGCTTTGGAGACTACGACACTAGCTCAGTCTCTTGAAGTGGTAGGCATTTTTTTGACCAGTTTAACTCTGTGGTCGACCCAGTTTCATGAATTTGGGTACCAGAAACATTTTTGAGAATGTTCGGATGAGTTTTGAGAAGAAAGAGAACTAGTCATCTATTTCATATGTCGTGGTCTAAAATGTTTGAAGATTAAACAGTTCACACTTCCATGGCAGTGTCTTCTTTGATGATTTATTTAACTTTGTTTACCGGTACAGCATACTACACGGGGACACGTTGGATGTAGATATTAATAAGAAATACAATTTTCAGAGACAGAGACAGAGAGAGAGAGGAGAGAGAGAGAGAGAGAGAGAGAGAGAGAGAGAGAGAGAGAGAAAGGATGAGAGACAGAGACAGAGAGAGAGAGAGGTGGGGGTAGGGAAGAGATAAGATGAGAGAGACCAATAACATAGTCGAGATACAGAAATAGTAAGGAATGGTCAACTGTAAAGTGCAGTATTTCAAACTGTCTGTTAATATTATCTTACACAGGGTTTTCGCAAATAGTGTATAAATGTGAGAGAGATATTTTTATTCTAGATTTAAAAAAAATAAAAGTATGGTATCAAAACCATAAAAAAAAATAATGTAAAGGTGTCAGCAACAATTATAAAATAACGTAATAGTGTCATTATCCTAATATATAAGATAACGCAGTGTTGTT